TGTAAGTAACTTCATATCCACACAGTCATACCAGACTCTTTCTCTACTCAGATAACCAATATCAAGAAAACAGACCAACTACTCATCCACTCATTCATTTGTCTATCTACACACACATTGATCCATCTATCCATCCTTCCACCCATGTATCTATTTATCAATCCATCCATTCATCATCATCCATCCATCATCCATCCATCCATCTATCCATCCATCCATCCATTCATCATCCATCCATCCATCATCCATCCATCCATCTATCCATCCATCCATCCATCCATCCATCCATCCATCATCCATCCATCCACCTATCCATCCATCCATCCATCCATCCATCCATCTATCCATTCATCTTTGCATCCATTTGTCTGTCTATCCATGCACCCATTCATCCATGTGTTTGCACATAAGTATGTCTACTCATCTCTTCATTGATCCTTTCATTTATCTATCCCAAAACATTTACTTGAGATTCCACGATGTCCCAGGCTGTCAGACAAAGGTTCAAAGTTATTGCAGAGAGTATTATTTTTATAGATGTAATATTCTGGGGCTCTGAGAACTGAAGGAATGGATCAGTGCTGAATGCTGACCACATCAGTTATTAGTCAGCAGCTCCGTCCAGGTCTCTTACCATTTACTCAAGGGCAAGGAGAGCATCTCAGCTCTTCTGTCCTTTATATTATATCCTCAAGGGGCTTATTTTAGTGTGTGGATCAGTAATCTCTCTCTCAAACAAAACAAAACAAAACAACAACAACACAAAACTGGAAAGAATCAAATGATGATTTTCCTTTGTGCTGCAGGAGGCATTAGGGTAGAAGCCAGGCAGCCGAGTGCGTTTCACATGGCAGTCTCCAAAGGGATTGCAGAGATATCTTCTGAACAACAGAACAAGAGGAAGCATGCCTTAAAATATCATTAGTGAAGATGACTCCCAAAGGGAGAGGAAAGTGAAGGGAAAGGAAAAGATAAGAACAATACAACAAGCACATGACCTTGCAATTGTGGGGGGGCCTGAGAGGAAGGCACTGGAAGGATCAGAGAGCTGACCGCATGCTCAGGAGATTACGGCTTCCCAACAGAAGTGGTTCACTGTCTTGGAGTTAAGAAGCCTGTCCCCCAGCGTGTGGTGGACAGCAAACGGGGACATTCAAAACAGGGAAATCGAGGGCAAGGGTGAAGTTGCATTCCACAGCTGAGGACAGAATTACAGCCACTCTTGAGAGCTGAGCATGGAATTGAGATTGCCCGGGAAGTACCTGAACCATTTCTGGGAACTTTGGCTGAATCGTGTGTGAAGACCTGGAACCGAAACTCCCCACAGCTGTTGTCTGGATGAAGTGGTGTGTTTGGCCTTGACCTACTAATAAATAAGTCCATGAAGCTGTTGCAAGTGGAGGTTCTGGAGACTATGGGAACATTT